TGTCGGCCCGTGCGCCGGCACGGGGCGGGGGCAGCGTGTCGCCAGTCTGAGTCGTTTCGCACCCACTTAGCACGGAGGTAAAGGACGGTGGGGAAGCCCGGCAAGGAACCCAGGAGTCCGGGCCCCCGCCCCACTAGAGATAAGCTTGACCTTGCAGCGGGGGTCGTTAATAGGCAGACCGGGGGTCAAATCCGGACCGCTGGATGCTTTTGAACGGACGCTGAAATCTTTTAATTTGCGTATTCTTCTCGTTGTTGTGGGTGATTTTGAAACAATTGTCTCTGTATCTGCCACCCGGCCCTCCGCCGGCCTGTGCGGTCAGACAGCCATGCACGGCCAGGTCCCTGCTCCCACAGCAGAGCTGCAAGCCCTGGCTTCTCAGTGCAGCCTGGAACTGGGACCGTAGTTTGGGGGCACGTGGGGCCAGCGGGCCGAGGTGTGGGGACTTCCAGCCCAGTCAGGGTGGGGAGTTTTCTGATCGCCCACCGCTGCCCACGAATGGGTCTGGGAACCTGCTAGGGGTGAGCTCACAACATGGGCTTGACCCAGCCCCGTGCAGCCAGAGGGAGGTGTGGGGCTGTTTGCCTGGCCTGGGGATGTGCCCTCAGGGATGAGGTGGCCTCCAGACAGAGAAGCCCCTTGCGACTGGCCGCGTCTGGCTGCTGTGCAAAGCCCAGCGTCTCGCTGGGACCCCACTGTCCCACCGGGGGGTCAGGCTGCTTCCATCCCCCAGGGAGGGAGGCACTTTATCCAGACAGGCCAAGCTGCTTCGGGGACCCGGTTCTGATCCTGCGCACGCCCTGGGCCGAGGGGCCGACTTCAGTTCTGTGGTGCTGGTACCGGCCGGAGCCTGCGCCATCCCCCTGGGCCTGGTCCCACCGGCTCCCCGCGCTGGGGCGCTGCCTCCGACAGCGGGTCAAACCAAATGTAGCTGTGCCGGGGAGGCTGAGGAGTGTTCACCGCCCCCCCCATGGCCCCCATCACACACACACACGCACACACATGTCCATCAGACACACACACACACATACACATACACAGACAGACATGTCCATCAGACACACACACACACATACACAT